CCAGCAGGACTGGTGGGGCTGCAAGACAAAAAAGTTGGAGCTTTACCTTACCCTTCCATGTTTCCCCTCCCGTTTTTTCCAGCATTCTCTCAATCAATGTACCCATTTCCTGATAGAGACTTGAGATCGTTACCTTTGAAAATGGAACCCCAGTCACCAAGTGAAGTAAAGAAACTGCAGAAGGGCAGCTCTGAGTCTCCCTTTGATCTCACCACTAAACGCAAGGACGAGAAGCCCTTGACCTCAGTACCCGCCAAGCCTCCAGTGACGCCGGCCACAAGCCAAGACCAACCCCTGGATCTAAGTATGGGCAGTAGGAGTAGAGCCAGTGGGACCAAGCTGACAGAGCCTCGTAAAAACCACGTGTTTGGGGAAAAGAAAGGAGGCAACGGTGAACCAAGACCAGCATCTGATGGTTCCCTACAGCATGCTAGACCCACTCCTTTCTTCATGGACCCTATTTACAGGTAAGGGTGGATGGGAGACCACTCAATATGGACAGAAGAATGAAAGGCAGTTTTCACACTATAAAGTTACGGCTTTTAACAAACCTTTTTTATTATTCTTATAAAGCAGAAAGTAAAGTTGTTTGATCTGGTGAGTTCATTTTTTATTCGGAAAGTCAACTCATTAGGTTTGGACTTATTTTTGGATGTCTCCGAATTTGGGGTTTTGGAATAGGCCCACAGAGTTCTTTCCCTTGACAATAAATTTATTTTTAAACACATTTTTTTAAGTGGAAAATATGGGAAAGCCGTATTTAAAGCAAGTTGTCAAGTGGCGGAAGAATGAGGCTCCTGAAGGATTAATGCAAATATGTGTGGGTACTTAAATGGGTCAGGTTATTTGGAATGAGATGGGACATAGCAAGAGTTTACTCTTTGTTAACCTATGAACACATCCTTAATAAGTACTGGTCCTATTCTGTTTCTAAATAAATCTCTTAGGAGCCCCATGTAACTGAAATATTAATCACAAAAGTGTTTTGTATATAATGTGAGTGGTCGGCTTAAAAAACACATCTCTGTTTAATGCCTTCATTATCCAGTTTCCTTTGATGCATCCAAAAGTTTTGGGGGGGGAATATATGCTAATAAAAAGCCTCCTAGACAGTACTCTGTAACACTCGACCATTCAGAAAGATTTAGTTTTTAAAAACTAGTCTTCTTCAAAGTGTATGAATAACAATAATTAATTTGTGATGTATTTTAAATATTACCACAAATTTTCACATTTACTTTCTCATTCAAGTCGTGAACATTGTCAAGAGTTAATAGAAAATGTGGATAATTTTTTTGGGGGCTTATTTAAGCTGGGAGAATTTGATATTTTTGCCTGATTCTTTTTTCTTAATCAAGAGACAGTTTTATTCAATTCCTTCATTCAACAATATTTTTTTTGAGTGCCTATGACTTAATGGGTACCACAGCTGCAAACCTTCAAACTCTTTTTCTACCTTTATTATCTTCAATGCATTAACCAAGAAACATTGCCAGTGTGTTACTTGAACATGACAAGGGGCATAGAAAAGGACAGTACAAAAATGTCTCAGAGCCATCATTACCATGCTTGGGCACTATTTTTTTTTTTTTAACAATTATTATATTTTCATTTCTGTGGCAGAGAAAGAAAAAGAAGGAAAAACAGATCTTCCATATTTTGTGTGTAGCTTGTATGTTACACATGGCCAGTAAGGTTGTATTTCCAACTCAGCGATATGTCTCAGCCCTTTGTGAAGATAAGTTCTCAGACTCTCTTTCTTAGACCCTCCCAAGGGCAATGGGCTTCCAGTTCCTTCATACACCCATTCCACACTTCTCCATCACCTCCTAACCTCCCTCCTGCTGACTCTAATCTCAGTCTTTTCTCTGGTACATCAGTGTCAATTGAGGCTTTAGGCATGTCATTTTACCAAACTCATGAAAGACCTAAACTTAGCAGTTTAGTGTTAAGACCTGGGTTGAAATCTCAGCTTTCCCATGTCTTAAACTTTTTTTAATCCATAAAATGGGTATAAGAGCACCTATTTCAATAAGTGAAATAGTATATGTAAAACATAGCATACGTATAATTTCAAGAAGTGGGAGCTGTTTTTATTCGTTTTGATTCTATTTTAAAGTATATTTATTTAACGGTTTTTAAAAGGAAATCACCAACAGTTCATGAAGGAAATTAATTCAGTCCACGATGTCATTTCCTATATGCTTAATAGAAAATAGAATGACAAACATTTCTAAAGCGGAAGGGCTATATTGATAAGTTTGATAATGTCTCTCCCTGTCTTCAAAAAGTTCCTCATCCTCTCCCTACCACCCCCCTTTCACCTACTCTGTTTATCAGCAGTAACATCCAAAAGAAGATGCCTATGCCTGAGAGCGGCTAGCAGGGTGTGTAGTATGCTTAGAAACTCTCCTGCTGACATTCACAAATGTAGAAGAAATCTGATGACGATTTGAGGAAGCACCTTCTTGATAGAAAATGACTTTAATTTTTTAAATGAGCCCTGTTCTTATGCTTTTGAAATCACCAAGCCTTTTCGTGTACGTTTAAAATGGAAAGGTACAAACTTGTGACCAAAGCCTCTGATTTCATGACTTCATTTTTTACATTTCCTCATTATTATTATTACTAGTCATTCAATAGGATTCTTCCATTGTAAAAAGGACCTTCTTTCTCCGAGCGCCTAGAAGTGCCAGGAGTATTCTTCAAGAACTGAACAGATGTCTTTATATCTTTATTAGTGTGCTTCCCAGCAACCTACCATTTGCTTTATTGTTAGCTGTTTAAATGTCAGCGAGTACGCAGGGATTGATATATGAGACTGATTCATCTCCAAAATCTAATTTTAACCTTTCAGAGTAGAGAAAAGAAAACTAACTGACCCACTTGAAGCTTTAAAAGAGAAATACTTGAGACCTTCTCCAGGATTCTTATTTCACCCGCAAGTAAGTATTTTGAATTTGAGACTTCAAGCTTGTAAACTAACTTGTTGATCCTGAAAAGCAGGTGCAATTAAATGAAAGAAATCTTGAGAACACTAGGATTTCCTATGACGCTGGTGTGGAAGAACACAGGAAATTCTAGCAGAATTAAAACCCAAACTCTTTAAAGAAAAAGTAGTTACTATATGTGAAAAAACAACATGGTTTTGCTGTTAAATTATTCTCTATTAACTACTTACTGAGCCAAAGTGTATTTTAGAGTGAGCAGAATTCAGTTAAGAAATTAAATATTGAAGTTGCCTTTCATGTTAAAAAATTTGTGATAGTAAGAAATGGATCGTAGTGTGACTTGTCCCAAACTCAGGACGGTCGTTCATGTTCTTTCAGTGCTTAGATAAAAACAGGAAATGAGTCTACCTGACAAGTTGTTACCATAGAGGGTGAAGGAATTTATCTAGAGACCACTGGGCATTCCAGCAAAATTCTGTAATTGCACAAGAATTCACCACAATACACAGAGCTATTTGCTGGATGGAGTTGTGTCCATTTATCAAAATATGTACAGTTTCTCACTGCAAGGAAAATACAAAGCAGCGTTATCTAATTGGTTCATCTTTATGTTCCTACATATGTGGTCATTTTTTAAAAAGCTGACTTACATCTCAATAAAAATGCGGGGAATTGTATTGAAAGAAGAAATATGTAAACATCTTGAGTCTGGTTTCTTAATGATATTTTATTTTTTGTTTAGTTATTATTAAGGATATAAGCTTTGGTCTCTATAGATAGTAAGCAAAATTTTTATGAAAATGCTTGAAAACAGAGTTAACTGATTTGTTCTGTTTCAATATATTCAAACCAAAAATCACGCTCCTCTGATAAAATTGGTGGAATTCTATGCAAGCTGTGTTATAGAACATTATGAGCTAATTAAATTAAATCATGGGATATGACTCTTCCCTCCACCTTTCATGCCCCTGCCACCACCTCTTCTTTCTTCATTTTTTAAAGTACTTTCCTAAATTCTGGACAACAAAGTATGAGAGCTGAAATACCATATTCTGGGTTAGCTGGAGAAATCTATCATTGCTCAAAAATTCTCTCTATTTTAAACTGCAAACATATATGATTTAGTATTAAAGGGGTTAGAAATATTCCATTTTGTGTAGGAGGACTAAGGAATGATATCATTTATTAAATTATTTTATGGAAAAGAAGCAAGTTTTAAAATAGTAAATGTTTATCGGGTGCTTATTTTCCACATTTAGGTTGACCCAAATTGCACTTGCCAGCCTCATGAGCTAAAAAAACTGAACATAATGTGCGTTTTGTGTCAGATATTACACAAAAGTATGTCTCTCTTGATAACTTCCTAACTAAATGCTTATAAGGATATTATAGTTATCTACATTTAATCACAATAAATCAAGTGGTTTTCATATTCTAATTATCTTTAAAATCTAGTAATTAATCATTTCAAAATTAAATGCTGTGAGTACATGGTATAAGGGAGGAGGAAAAAAAGCCACTGGGATTCAGTGTCTTTGAGTGACTCAGTCTACTGGCTCTTAGTTTCCTTACCTGTCAGATGAGGGAGTTGGGTGTAAGGTCCCTATCCTCTCTGAAGTTCAGATTTCTAGCAAGCTAAGGTAAATTTACTGGTTCAGAAGATGGGCAGTTTTATCTATCAATATCTTTACATGCGCATGCAGCTGTTGTAAATATAGTATATACATGTATGGAGGTTCCTTAAAAAACTAAAAATAGAACTACCATACGACCCAGCAATCCCACTACTGGGCATATACCCTGAGAAAACCATAATTCAAAAAGAGTCATGTAGCACAATGTTCACTGCAGCTCTATTTACAATAGCCAGGACGTGGAAGCAACCTAAGTGTCCATCAACAGATGAATGGATAAAGAAGATGTGGCACATATATACAATGGAATATTACTCAGCCATAAAAAGAAACGAAAGTGAGTTATTTGTAGTGAGGTGGATGGACCTAGAGACTGTCATACAGAGTGAAGTTAAGTCAGAAAGAGAAAAACAAATACCACATGCTAACACATACATATATAGAATCAAAAAAAATGGTCCTGAAGAACGTAGGGGCAGGACAGGAATAAAGACGCAGACATAGAAATTAGACTTGAGGAAAAAGGGAGGGGGAAGGGTAAGCTGGGACGAAGTGAGAGAGTGGCATGGACATATATACCCTACCAAATGTAAAATAGATAGCTAGTGGGAAGCAGCCACATAGCACAGGGAGATCAGCTCGGTGCTTTGTGACCACCTAGAGGGGTGGGAGGGAGACGCAAGAGGGAGGAGATATGGGGATATATGTATATGTAGAGCTGATTCACTTTGTTATAAAGCAGAAACTAACACACCATTTTAAAGCAATTATACTCCAATAAAGATGTTAAAAAATGAATTAAAAAATATAGTATATACATGTTTTTAATCAAATAATATTAATATAAGAAAATCTGCTATGTTTTAAGATTCCCAAAGTTAATGAAGGACCACAAAATATGAGGCGCATGTACAGTGCTTGGAGTACAGCAGTCACCCACTCAGACCATTGAAAATATGCCTGTGGGAGTCACAGTGGCAGAGAGTTTTCTTCCCACACCAGAATGTCGCGTCTTGGTATAAGGGACTGCCCACTGCTGCGTGTTGCTACAAGACCAGGACCTAACAGTGATATTCAGCTATTTAACACATCATATGTAATGAATACCGATCAATCAGAATGGACTCCTGCCATTCTGAAGCCGGGTCCTGGAAGCCCTTGCTGCACCAACTGTTCATGCTTTGGTTGCTGGCCGGTGGGCTGTCTGAAGGGTCTTTTGGGAGGAGGCCAGGGCTGCAGGAGGACATTCAGGGTAGTTGGGGCAGAGGCTGTTTACCAAAGACTACATAAATATTTCATTATTTTGATAACCATGGTGGGTTTTTTCGTGTGTAAGGGCTGTGGGATACAGGTGGCATAAAAAGCGCATCAGAGGGATACAGGTGGCATAAAAAGCGTAGCCTGAGAGAAGCTTGGGTCACTCAGTTTTCACCAACCGTTCAGACCAGTCTGTTCTTTCAGAAAATCTGCCTCAGATGTTCTGAAGTTTCAGCAGAACGTTCTTGTTCTTTCTAGTCCTCTATCACTTCTGTCCTAGCCTCAAGATCTACTTTCCTACAAACAAACAAATGAAAACAAAGAGAAACTGCCCAGGATTTGGGGCCAGAAATAACCGCTTTAGAACTGGCTTTCCTACTTATTCACAAAAATGCTTCGGATTTGAGCAATGTAATTCATCTCTCCGAGCCTTCTCTATCAGTGTAATGGGAACACCCCTCCAGCCTTACCAGGGGAGCTGCAAGGATTAGTGATCACATACATAATGTGTTTAGCATTGTGCTTGGCATAAGGAAGGACCTAGATGAGGAAAAGCTCTTATTATTATTGGTTGCAGGAGTATTCCATTTTGAATATAAAAGGGTGTCAGTAAAATACCCTCCTGCCATCCCCTGAGCCCAGTCTCTTTGGTGGGGCTATACCAAGTACCTAGAAGTCCTTGGAAAGATGCTTACTGTGTTCTTCGTGCTGCCTTGTTGGGCAGCAATCAGGGTGGCACAGAGCAAGAAGCCAAAATGGAAGGACTTGCCTCTGCTCCCAGGGCTTGCCATGATTTTGTGGTTAGATAAGTGCTTGGTTAAGACCATTCGCTGCTTCATTTTTCATTGAAAGTATATTGGAGCAAATCACATAGTCCCTCTGGGCCTTTCTTATCTTCATCTTCAGAATGAGAATAATACCTACCCTATCTACTTCTCAGTGTTATTATAATAATAAAGAGGAGACCACATGTTCTTGATGATTCAGGGAAAACCTATATGTAGATAGATATGTAAATCCTTGGTAGTGGTATTCTCTGGGCAAGCCTGATTTTACAATTTTTTGTATGTCTTTGTATTCTGCCCTCCTCCTTCCCCAGTGCACAGTGCCTAATCAATGAAAGTCAAACACCTCAGTGGGTATTTATTAAATGTTATTGAAAGATTATTAGTCCAACTTACTGCTTTTTGGAATAATGTATATTTTTCAAATCCTTGTCAAAAATACCCCAAACATATAGGAACACATACATCAAAATCAAAAGGTAAATGCTGGTTTTATCATTCTTAGGGTCTAAATTCCTCTCAGTTCAGTTCTTAAAGAGGTATGTTTGCTCTGTCGGGCCACTGGAGGACTATTTAGCTTTCTATTTTTCTCTTATAAATAAGTTAGTTTAATATGGGGGTGAAATAAACACTACAGAGGTTCTTCCTGAATATGTGGTTGAAAATTACTTGTGGAGTCTCAGATTATAATTTTGAAAAGAAGATGACAGCCACAGGAGGTGAGATGGAGGAAATGATGTTACCATGTGATCTTTGGAATGTCCATTTCATTGGGTACTTTGCATTTTGGGTACTTTGCATTCACTTCGATAGCTCATTTGAATTGCCATAGATATCACTTGGCAATTATACTATTATAAAAGTGGCTATTATTCCTTTGTTTGATTTTCCTATACTTTAAATATTATTTTTGGTTATTTGTATATTTCATTTTCAGATGTTTGACTTTGTGTTGATCTGCAACAGAGACTCTATTTTACTTCCATTTCTGTCCTTTATGCATTCGTTTTTTGAATTTTCTTCCTTTAAAATGTCTACTTGCTACTGTATCCCAGGGAACTGGGAAAAAGACTAATAAGGTCTTTTCCCAAGTTATCATTTATATATGGGTGTGAAAATCACTTAAGTCTTTTGCCTTTCATCTTCTTTCTTGCTTTCAACATGTGTTTCTTGTGTTAGATTTCTTCTGTGATAAACCTTTCATCATTAAAAACTGTGCATCTTCCTTATTAAAGATACCATAATCTAAGAAAGCAAGATATGTCACCTTTAACCAACCAAAATGATATTTTTAAAGATGTAACATTTGTGTTTTCCGATAGAGCTTCTAACTCACTGAAGTTTTCTCCATTGATTCTTGTCATAAATTGTCATAAATAACTCGACATTTGTAGTCCTTTTCATTAATGTCCTTCGGTGTTTGGCCTACTGATGGTCTCAGTCCCATCCTAGTAGAAGTCAAGCAGTTTTTTTCCAAGGACATTACCTTTTTGTTACTCAGTGATTTACATTTGAGTAAATATCTTATTTTCTTTGTTACTAACATTATAAAAATGCAAGAGACTATATCTTTTTTGCAGGAAATTGCTTAATTTTTAGTTATTAAAGTAAAGTTTAGGAATCTTGTTTTGCAGTGAGTACAAACAGATAAAAAGGAAGTATCTACTTTGCTATTTAAGATTTGATAGTAAGCAGTGTTTAGCTTTCTTGGAAATAAGCACATTCTGGTTTATAACCATGATTCTAAAATTTAATTTAGGTAAATAGAGGAAACTCAGCAGTGTTATAAAATTATTAATTTTCATTTCCAAAGCTTTTACTCAAGATATAGTTACATGATAAGCAAAAATTACTTAGTATAAATGTTAATTTCTCAAAGGATAGATTGCAATAAAGATACTGATACAGAAGTAATTTTTTGTTTTTTGTTTCAATTTTGCTCCCAGTTCCAACTGCCTGATCAGAGAACTTGGGTAAGTTTCCTACTTATATTTTTGACTAAAATAACGTAGAATTAAAAGGAAAACAACTTATAAGTTGCCATACAGACAAAGAATTCTGAGCCCTTTCCATAAAATGATATGGCTTTAGCAGATAGATTTCCAGCTTTGTCAAGCTGCAGAATGCTTTCAGTTATAATTGGGCATTTAGTGTGCTATAAATTGTTTACAGAAAGAAGTTTATTCTCTAAATCTGACCCATTCCATGTAATTTTACCTTGATGTAGAACTCTTTCTGGACACTTTGGAGCATGTTGTTAAAAGGGACTTCGAGATGGGTCACTAAGTGGAAACAACCATTATTTGGGGGAGCCTGACCAGCATGTTAAAGATGCTTATGATAAAGCCTTCAAAAGGATAAAACCTGAACTTATATGTAGACACAAGATGACGTTGGAATTCACAGTCATATAACCCGGGGCAGAACTTGGTTCTGGCTATGTGGAATCATAAGACTAAATGTTTAAAAATCTTTATCTAACTAGTGAATGTATCCTTTAGCATTGGGTCCATTTCCTCGACTTTCTTTTTTTTTTTAAGTTTTAAAAATTTGTATTGGAGTATAGTTGATGTACAATGTTGTGTTAGTTTCAAGTGTACAGCAAAGTGAATCAGTTATACATATACATATACCCATGCTTTTTAAAGATGATTTTCCCATATAGGCCATTACAGAGTACTGAGTAGAGTTCCCTGTGCTATACAGTAGGTTCTTATTAGTTACCTATTTTATATATAGTAGTGTGTATATGTCAATCCCAATCTCCCAATTTATCCCTCCCCCTCAGCCTTCAATTAACATTTCCAGATACAGTCAGTTGTAAGTTGACATCAGTAGGGGAAAACTTTGTTTTTATTCAAGATACAAAGAATACTATTTATTTAGTTTTCACTACCAAATAAACCTTGAGTCAATGGAAATATATGTGAATAACATATATTACAAAATCTCCTCTAAGTGTATGTGCTTTTACTCCTTCATTCTCCTCTTCACTCAAAATTATCCTGATTCTGAAGTATGGGCAGAATCTTGGAATGTAGTTAAATTTTCCTTTAGTCACCATATAATTATATATAAATTATTTTAAGTTAGAGCACTTTGGCAGTTACCTATTTCCTCTATCTGATGTTAGTTTTCCTTTTAGAACAGAAGTTCTTCTATTTTATTTCTTCTGTGGAATATGTGATGAATTGTGATTTTTCTCATCCTATCAACTTTTAAGGATTAAGTTCATTTATTTCCAAAGTATAAGCGTAGAGAGACAGAAACTTCCTTATTAGGCAAAGCTGTGCAGTAGACAGCGTTGTTCTTTCATTATCCTGGCTTATATTTCCAGTGTTTCTTGTCTGCCTCTCCTGGCAAAGGTCTGTCCAGAATATCATACGTCATCGTCCTCATTATTTCTAACGTAGAGTATTAATTGCTAGTAGCTTTGCTGTTAGGCGCTTCAAGCATAAGGTGCTGTCTCTCACACAAATGGCCAGTGCTTCTACCAACTTACAAAGCCAGTTCAGATTTTAAGTTAGACACCCTTTCCTGATAGCACAATGGTATAGCAACTGCCATTGCAATGCTTTGGAAACACTCCCATTCTTTGACTCATAGGTTTTTCAAAGCAATAATTTATATTTGTACTATAAAATACAGATATTAGTGGAAAGTAGTAAAATATTAAAGTTTATAATTTTGAGTGGTTAAAAAACCCTATAATTTTATAATCATGACTGCAGAATGTGATATATGGAATGAGACAACCATAAAATATGAATATGTATTTCTCCCCCAAATGGCCATGATTTTAAGATTTCTCTAGATTATCAAGTGAATAAATATAGAAAACTACCAAATCTACAAACTTTCCCATCATAAGTTATTTATGAAAAGTTAGTTATTTTATGATAAAGCCATGTGTAATCTAATTTGTGAAACATTAGGTCACATAATTCATGGTGCCATTGGACATATCATTTTGTATAATCAGATTGTCACTTTAATAGTTTTAATGAGAAACTTCTTTATGTCATCAATTATTGGCTGCCAGATAAAAAATGTTAAGCTAAGTGCTTCAGACCCAGTTGATGATATCTTGCCTGCTGAAATGTTTTTACAAATACTAACTTTATTTGACGAGAGAGATAGCTACATTTTTTGGTAGGAGCTAGGGAATTGTGTCTAAATATTAGTTTGCGTCAGTATAAAGTTAATAGCCCCTTGGGGACTGGAAGGGGGTGAAATGACTTCCTTTTCCAGACATCTGGCTGCAGATACCATCAACAACTACAATATATGTAAATAAAAATTACTGTTCCATAGGAAAAAAACTGTCATTTACTGATCGGAGATTAGCCTATGACATTAATAGGACAGAGGGCAATATGTTTTTAAAATATATGATGTGATTTTTCCTCCTTTTTTCCCCCATTCTCAGCAAATGTCCTCTTCATTGTAGTACACATTGTTCCCCCTTCATTGGTTTCTTCATAGTTGAAAAGTATAACTAGCTAGATTCTGTTTCATTTATCCCAGTTCATCTTGATTTTTAAAATACCAAGTCAGACTTTAAAATGAATGTCAAAACTTACCACTTCCACAAAATGCATGTTATTCCAAGAGGAGTATCACATGAGTCAGCACAGATAGCTAGAGAAAGTTGAGGTTTGGACCCATACATTAGATAAAACTCATTTTAATCCAACACCTTAATCCAAGATATGGACCAGGGCTGATTGTTGGTCACAGAATGGCTAAACTACCCCAACTAGCAGACGTCTAAGTCACTTTTTTTTTTTTAATTAATTTTTATTGGAGTCTAGTGGATTTATAATGCTGTATTCGTTTCAGGTGTACAGAAAAGTGAATCAGTTATACATATACATATATCCACTCTTTTTCAGATTCTTTTCCCATATAGGTCATTTCAGGGTATTGGGTAGAGTTCCCTGTGCTATACAGTAGGTTCTTATTAATCTATTTTATACATAGTAGTGTCTATATGTCAATCCAAGTCACTTCTGTCTGTCCTAATGGAGAAACTTACTCTTTTCAGCTGATGTCAAGAGCTGTGAGAGCAAATCTTTGGAAGATGAGAGGAAGGATTCAGTGATGGCTTTTATGTTGTTTCGGTGGTTGCTAGCCGGAAAGAAAGTGGAGAGGGGGTGTGTGTCTGCATATGTGGTGTTAATAGCTACCCTCAGCTCACTTCCCATCTTTCTTCTCTCCCTCTTCCCCACTCTGACTTAATCCTCTTTTCATTTGACACCCCAAGCCAAAGGTGGGGGGTGGCTTATAGGAGAGGCGCTTGGGTAACCCTTATTCTTTTTCTTATTATCTTTAAGAATGTTGTTACTTAGTCATCAAGTCCATACTATATTTTGTTATTTCTTAATGCTTTTCCCAAATTGAAACGGTTTGAGGTGAAGTAATCACAGTGATCTTCCTTTAAAAGGAGCTATTAGCAGCTACTAAAGCAAGACACATTTCTCAACAGCCAATTGCTCTTAAATAACTTGAAGGAGTTGTAGTTTATATGTGCTGGAGATGAAAGCCGAGAATAATGATAGTCATGAGTAAGCTATTTTCCATATAAAAGGAAAGTGTTTCTACAAGATGTATTGCCCCAGGAATCTGAGTGTGTCGGCAGGGCGGACACTCAAATGATTTAAAACCACTAGATAATGAAACTTTACTCAAATATTAAATGTACATAAATAAAACATTTATAATCATCACCCATATGCACTTACTATGTTTCCCAATAAATATATGCGATCATGCCGCTTACCCCTGCTTGTTACTGCTAATCAGCTTGAAGGCCAGAGGTCATTTTTCACTCAGACAATTTATTCCATAGAGGGTGGAATATCAGAATGATTTTCTGCAAGCAACAATTAGAAGGAATAAATGCAAATAAAATAGTATCATAAAATATTTCTGGATTGATTTTTAATAAATAAAATCCAAAGTAATATGAAAATGCTAATGCTCTGGTTAGAGGGGAATAATGACCATATTCAGCAGGGACAGAGTTTCCTTCAACCTCTATGAGCAGCAGCATCATTTTATATCTCTGCCCTGTGATCAGTATGTGTCAAAATCCTTCATAGTGACAAATGTGCTGTCCGCTTGCATCTGTGGAGAATGTTTTAGCAGCTGAGTGATTATGAATCAAACCCCTGAGCTTATAGCCCCTACCGCCTCCCAGTGCGTTCACATTTGTCGTCTGACAAGTAAATGTATCTTGACTCTCCTCTGAGATTTTTTTGCACCGTGTTTGATGAAAGACATTTGGCAAATTGGCAGTGGTACCCTGTACATTGCAATTTGTAGCTAGCATTAGGAGTCTGGGCATGAAATGAGAGGGCAGGCTCCAGGATAAAGGGAAAAGAAAGAAAGATAACTGCAACATGAATAGTCATTTGAAGAATCAAGCATACAATATTTCCTTTGTAAGAAGAGAATCATGTTTAGGCCATTCAGTTGAGATTTTGCTCCAGTTTAAGAAGTCAGTGGTATTCTGTCCGGCTGTGTGTCCGCGGAGTATAAATTTTGTTAATTTTCTTTTTGAGTATGAAGTGTTGCCTTTTATTTTTAACCTGGACTCATAATAAATTAGACTTCCAACTCTGTCTTACCATCTTACCAGCAAAAGAATCTTTTTCTTGGGATGTATAGTTGTTAACATTTTTAATCCTTGCATGGGGTCTTCTGGTCTACCGCCCCAGCCTTTTGAGAAACATACAGAGTGCATACAGAATGCAAACACCTTTTAAACAGCTTTGTGAGTTCTCCAGTGGCATAGTGCCCTGAGAACCAAATAAACAATGGGTGAGTTGATTTTACAAGATGGCCTGAGAGTTTGCTTTTTCTTCTTAAAAATTCAGTAGTAAGCAGCTTCCAAATAAAATGTGAGCATGGGGGAAACAACATTTTGCGAGGGCTGAAGGAAAGGTGAGAGAGTCTGTCTAACTATAGACAGTAAGGATCAAGCTGCCTTTGAAAGTAAATGCCACCCTCTGTTTATGACTCTGTCGAATATGTGTGCAGGTAGACAAAAACTTGAAGATTATAAGCAAAATAAATTAGGTTATTTGAGGGGAAGAACCAGGCAGGATAGTTTTTCTTCAAGAATACTGCTCTGAGAGTTTGGTCATACTTACAATGCCCATGCCAGGTTATGTGAAGTTATGATAATATATCATGAACTGTCATTTCCACTTAATCTTTGTCCAGGATAAATGAATATTTCACCAAAATTCTTTGTACATAATCACACTTAAAAATGTAGTATATCCAGATATTAATTTAACATAAAGCACTCTTTACACATTTAATTTTTTTCTTTCTGCATTGCATACATTTGGCTAAAGCTATAACTTTGGAACACCTGATGTTTTTCATGCTGTGAGTTCTTTTCATGGGACTCCCTACTTCCTATGGTTTTTATTACCTAGACAAGGCATACAGGATCTCTTGTTATAATTTCCAGTTTACTATTTTTTTTTTACTGTTTATTCGGAAATCTCACAGACCGAGAAGATGGTGGACTTGTGTCCCAAAGAACCATCTTGCCAGAGTTAGATTCAAGCTTCTTTTATACTAAAAAGGGAGGGAGTAAAGTCAAACATTTCCTGGTTCCAGCCAGCCTCTGGAGGGGATGTATTAATTTCTTCCTCCCTGCAGTCAGTCATTCACAGGTGGGCCTGGTGATTGTTGATAGCATGATACTAATGCTGTCTCTTAATTTAATAAAAAATCTAGCGGTTTTATTCTCTCTCATGTATTTCATTGCTCAATTGTATATCAAATTATTACAAAATGGTCTAACTAAGGGCTTATGGAAAAGTTCACTTGGCACTTTGTAAGCTTGATTCTACCTTTGTTACCTTTAAGATCAATGAATTCTCTCACTTGTTTAATATTGGGACACTACAATCTCTTTCTACAGCCCCTTGCATTCAGCAGATTTGGTGCTTCCCTCTTATTAATCTGTTCTTGGTTTGCTAGAGATAATTACAGAAGGAAGGATGTCTGCCCCATCCTTCATGGTCTTGTGCTTTTGCCTTTCAGATGTCAGCTATTGAAAACATGGCGGAGAAGCTGGAGAGCTTCAGTGCCCTGAAACCTGAGGCCAGTGAACTTCTACAGTCGGTTCCCTCCATGTTCAACTTCAGAGCTCCTCCCAACGCCCTGCCAGAGAACCTCCTGCGGAAAGGAAAGGAACGCTATACCTGCAGGTAACTGCAAAGTTAATCACCGCCTGCTTTCCAAAAATCTCCCCTCTGATTTCAAAAGGCCCTGCTGTTTGTTTTGGAAATTATTCTTGATTGGATGATTAATAGCAACCATGATAGATCTCAAGCACTTCAAAGTACTCTTTATTTAGTGGGATATAAAAATAGTGGTTTAAAAAAAATTATTACTAAATGAAATTTTTAACACAGGCCATTTGGTTGTGATAAATGTGGTTGGAAATAGTCCAAATGCTATCTACTTGTTTCACTTTGATATTTATGAATTTTCTTTCACAGTTAATTATTTTCATCCAAAGGTATAATACTACTGTCCTCAAGCATATATTTATTAATTGTCATGGCATTGAAGAATAAGGCTATTAATGAAGGACAAATAAGGTCGATAAGTGAAGAAAACTAGTTAATAAGTTTCTTGTTACTCATCAGTAGTACAGTAAAGCTCTTTTTTGGTTTCTGTTTTCCTTTTTAATAAATCATACTTACAATTTCTGAATTGTCTTCAGAAATTTGTGGCATCTGACTCAGGCATATCAATTTATCTGCTGTTTGGAAAATGTGTCACTTTCTTTCCAGAAAAGCTTTTATAGGAACATACCTTGATGGATGAGGTCTTAGAATCTTGTCTGATCTGATACCACTCAGTGTACAGAGAGTTGTCACTGTGCCTAACATGTAAAATGAGTTGAAACATTTGAAATCTGTTTACATCAACCCAGAATCACAGGCTCTTGTCATTTTTTAATCCCCTTGTCTGGTTCAGTTTTGTGAATGTAAAGATACAGAGTTAATAAAAGAGGAGCATGGGGGTCATCAAAACTCAAGTCTGTTTTCATAAACTGCTTGCTTATGCATGAACAAATTCAACCGGATCTCATAACGCAGTCTTTATTTGTAGAGTTATTTATATCTGTAGAATGGCTTTGTTGCAAATTTTAAATACCAAAGACATGTGAGTTCCATGCAAGATTAATTAATTCAGGAATAAGCATCTGGCTTCTATGCAGCTTGAGTGGAATACAGTCAATTGTGCTGACTTTCTCTTATAAACATCTTTTCATAATAGATACTGTGGCAAGATTTTTCCAAGATCTGCGAACCTGACACGGCACTTGAGAACCCACACAGGAGAGCAACCTTACAGGTTTGACAATGATTTTTACTAAATGTCTTGATAAATATTGTAATAAAGTAGGCTCATTGCCACAATTTTAAAAGAGGCTATTTTTGTGAATGTCTGTCTGTTCAATTTTGAGTCAAAGAAGAATTAACTAATGGCTGGGGTTAAAACTTAGAAAAGTCCTAATTTCTTGAATCGTCTTCTTATATCTCAGTTTAAAAGTTCTAGCAGTGTCTAGTATAGAATAAGCGTTTAAGAACTGTTATACATTTTTAAAATTAAGTGCTCTCTCTCCTCAGTGATTCATGCCATTTTAATTGACAATAATCATAATCTTGCAGCCTCCCTCTTCCAAGCCTTAAATCTCTGCTAGGAATTAACAACCCGGTTATATCTTTGTTTTCCCAGTACAGCTAAGTTAATGTCTACGGGTCCCATTAGGAGGTTTAAAGAATAAATTTTAAACCCGGAGAAGAGGAAGAAAAGGGAGCTAGGGGTAGAACAGATAAAATAGAATATATTATAGGAAGGGAGCAATTCTGTCAGCAATTTCTCAAGTGCTTCTTAGCTTATTCTCTTAAGTGTCAAAATTAGCCATGTGACACATGGCACCTGTGTTTAATTTTAATATTATTGTTTACTAACAAATGAAACTAACCACCATTCTCCATTCCAGTTTTAAAATATCACCTACATTGTTGAATGTGTGATGCCTTGCACACAGTATTAGGTACTCATGAATATTTCTTCAAAGAATGAATGTTATTTATCTTAAGAAATATTGTAATTTTATTCTGCTTTGAAATTCTTATGCATTGCATATGTGTAAAATTATTATTATTATTTTTTTTTTCTTGCGTTATGCGGGCCTCTCACTGTTGTGGCCTCTCCCATTTGCGGAGCACAGGCTCCGGACGCGCAGGCTCAGCGGCCATGGCTCACGGGCCCAGCCGCTCCGCGGCATGTGGGATCCTCCCGAAACGGGGCACGAACCCGCGTCTCCTGCATCGGCAGGCGGACTCTCAAGCACTGCGCCACCAGGGAAGCCCTAAAATTATTTTTATCTGAATGCTTTTGTCATTAAAATAAATGAATTATCAGCTTTCAAAGACTTTTTTACATACGAGGATAAGAAAATGGGCAGACCAATGTTCATTTGAAGATTGTTCAAATTTTAGGAGGAATTTTAGGAGAAAACTGGAGGGACTTAAACTCAGAAAATAATAAAGTATTTTCTTAAATTCTTTGCTTTCCTACATGTTTTGTAAATCACTAATCATAAGTGATATTTATAAATGACTTTATATGTGATAGAATGTGCTTGATATAGTAGGTCTCAGAGAGATATAAAAATGGGAAGTGTTAGATGATTTCCCTTTATTGAGAAAATGTCACATCCAAGGAATTCTGCTTAAGTGGAGGAAAGATTTCCACACTTACATTTTGTTATGGCCAAGGGTCTGGTATGCAACTATGATACCATGCTCATTTTACTCTTTTTTTGTACCTGAATTCAGTGGTTTCATTCTACCCTGTAAATGGTGCTGTTATTGTACGTATATTTTTAAAAACGCAAACCAGAATTTTTCATAGCTGAAGACCTTAAACAGTTATTTGTCCAGCTCTTCTGTTTTACAAGTAAAAAAACTTAGATCCACAGATGCTAACTGCCTTCTGTAAAGTCTGGTATTAATAGACCCAAAATTAAAACCCAGTTCTGGAACTCTAAAGTCAGCGTTTTTAATCTCATACCATGATCTGAAAGGCTCCCTTGACCCTTGTGTTTACATCCAGTAACCAGGAAGGCTTAATCGTGTATGCTCACAAGTGTGTTATGTATTCCTCTTTAGAATTTCTGAAACTTAGGCTCTGAATTGAGCTGTTTCTTGACCACCAACTAATTTACTGGAATAGAATGGCATGATTATTATTTAGGAGCACTCAGACATTTGGCCAAGATATTAGCAGAGGAAAGATACAAAGTAACAGATGGTTTTTGGTTAAAACTTCCTTATTGACTGATTATATTAGAGTGGATGATATTTATTGGATTTACAGCTTCTGTGCCTATAAGCAGACAGTTGGAAGCATGTCAAAGACAAAATCTCTCTTCCTCATGATTTGTGCAGAAAATATTTTGTGTGAAAAGTTTTCTAAAAAGTTTGATGGGAGTGTAAGTTTTCTCTATCAGTGTTTCCTAGGTTATTCTGCTTAGGACAACACAACTGTGCTAACTGTACCATGGTTCTCATTGCAGTTGGCCTTGGAAGTTCAAAGAAAGCCAAGAGTCCATGTATATATTTTTTCAAAAGCAGAGGCTTAAATATTACAACTACTGTCAATGTGGGATTTTACCCATTTTTAAATTAATATTATTAATTTAAATTTGAGGAACCTCATGATGCCAGAATGGTTTTTTAGGAGGGAAATTAAATCAGCCCTTGAGTTGGTTTACTGATACTATGACAAAGTAACTAGTTTAACAGATTTATTTCCCCACCGAACTAACTAGACATCTGGCATCATGTAGAGACAGCCATAAAGCCCAAACACTTTGAATGGAGTGGGGTAGCTTCTGATGTAGAGTCCCTCGAACTGCTGAGTCTGCATTCAGAAGTGGGAGAAGGGCCCTTCACTCACGGAAGAATGAGTTTCGGATTTTTTGGCTGCTAAGTTAGAAATTTTCACTTGAAAGTTATCTAGAGAAAGTTGATTTTTCCTTTTATGCAACACACGTACCAAAAAATCATATAAACAGACAATGCACCCTTTAAAATGCCAGAGGAGAAAATCTTGTCAGTTATCACTTTTCTTCCTCACCATAAGAGCTGGTGGGAAGGGGAGAGGGTGGGAGGTTACATTTTTATTTTGTGACTGAAGGAGAACTTCAGTAATTTATGATTTTTTTATCTTAAATATCATGGAAGGCAGAAACAATTAGCCAGGCAATAATACGTGCTTTCTTGAAAAAACTGACCTGGTTCAGAACTGCCACAGACTGAAGGAAAAATAAAAGTGGAAAACTGGGGGGAATCCAGAGGGAGGCGGTTAGCAAAGACCTTGTGTTTTTATCCAAAAAGGAGAATTTAGTGGTACTCTTCCTTTTGTGACGGTTTAAACGTTAACACAATGAAGGCTTTGGGGGCCCCTAATAACTATAGAGTATGAAAATCAGTATCCTTGGTATCAGACTAAACTATTACATTGCCCCAGTTTTAAGAGTTTGGAAGCTTTATTGTTATTTTGGAGAAGATAACAGAATTTCTCCTTCAGGATTAGCAATTGAGAAAGTGAATTTACTAAGAAATTATTTAATCAGGCTCAGAAGTTTCGAATTAAAAAATGATCTTTTTACTTTATTTGAACAATATGTGAATCTGTTTCATGTTTGTTTACAGAAGATTTAATTGTATTGTCCTAAGCAGAAGATAAAACAAAACTACTATTTCTTAATATTTTTAATTTCGTGAGCTTTACTTGCAGTATTAGAGCACTGATCACCTTCATAAACTTGTGATTTTATTATGGTTTTTTATGAAGTCATGAAAATCTTTAATGCAATCAAAGTCTGTTTATTGGAATTGAAATTTTGGCTGTGTGGATAGTAATCTTCTCTACAGTGTTGTTTTATGGGTGATAATTTTGGAGATCTGGTTTGCTTGTCTTGAGAACTACCTTTTGATTTGCTTGCGAATATTTGTTCTGTGTTTGTTTTTCAGATGCAAGTACTGTGACAGGTCATTCAGCATATCTTCTAACCTGCAGCGGCATGTTCGCAACATCCACAATAAGGAGAAGCCCTTTAAGTGTCACTTATGTGATAGGTGTTTTGGTCAACAAACCAACTTAGACAGACACCTAAAGAAGCACGAGAATGGGAACATGTCTGGTAGGTCATCAATTGTGTTTTGAGGAGGAGACGGTAGCTTATTTTTCTTATTTTAAAAGACAGCTGTCATCATTCTTCCATTCCACTTTGACACGAGAATCAGATCCTGTTGTGCAAACTTGCAGCACGTTTCCCTTGAGATTTTTGAATGAAGTGAATGATGTGATCGTTGAATAATATACAACTCAGAGCTTTATTTGGATGATTTTATTTTCTCCTGGATTCATCTCAGTGGGCAGTCTCAAGCGAAGAGAACCATGACCCGAACTCACCAGAGACTGATGAACCAAGATTTCCTAAATTGCAGAGAACGATCTTTCCATCTATTGGCACAGAATGTGGCCCCCAGCCTGGCAGGATGACCACAGTGGAGCCCCAGAATGCCACGCTCTTGAGTATTAACCTAGAAACCATGGCTGCTTTGGCCGAAGGCCTGCAGTTCAGAGGACCTCTCCAGGGGACCTTGTTTAGAGATGAGGGATAGAAGACTGTCAACATGATCAGAGTAGCCCGTAGCGAATGATAGTGGTGTGTGGTTTTGGTCACAAATTCCAATGTAGAATTAAATTAAAAGTGGCAAAAAACTAGCCTTCCCTTAACCCAGACGTACCAGCGCATAGTTAGCAGAAGACATGGTAGGTTTTCTTGCCTTTGGCTTCTAATACTTAGATAATAAACCATTAACGAATGTTTAGCAGCTGGCATATGTGTGTGAAACCAACTTATGTAGCCATAATTTGTTTCTAGAGAATTAAGGAAATGACTTAGAAGTGAGGAGAGGGGTTGTGCATGCAGCTCCTGAAAAGGATTTTAAGAACAGAGAAAAGTTGGGTTTATACAAAGTAGTAATCTTTACTGAAGGAAATTATTTTATTATTAATCCGTCCTCTATTGTACGGGAACATTGCTTATGAGTTTGAATGAACTATATACTCTTCGTTTCCCTTAAAGCCAAAAATCTAATGATCATGGTTTTAAAATATTGGACTTTAGAGGCAGAAGTCTAATCCAATACACAAAAGTGGCTACACTTTCTTACAATATACCACTATAATTTTTCTAGTCAAAATTATTTCAGAAAATAAATAAGTTAAAGATATAATGTGTCAAATTTGAATACTTGTTTTTTGGTCCAGGTTATAACTTTGTTAAGCTGAGGGGTGCTCTAACCTCTTGTTTTTGTCATCTAGACTATTGTGATGAACTATTAAACTGTAGATATTTTGTGGGCACGCTAAACAGCATGAAGCAAATGTTAGTATAAAGTTTGACCACATGTTATAAAGTGTTTATAATTTGTAAATTTATGGAAACTTTAGAATAATCTGTGATACAGGTATTTTGATTCTAATTTTATAGGTAAGGAAGCTGACAATCATTCTGTAATCCACAGACTCAATATCGTCCTCTTAATACTATACCACAACTGTCTCTCGACCGGTGTGTTCTGAGTCTATCCACGGCTTAATCCACCAAATCAAAATGCAGTATTTCCAGCATGTGTTCAGTCTTTATTTGATAACATACTTTAGCACAGGGGCAATAAATACATATTGACTGCAACCAGGTATACAGTTTCTTCTGCAGAATGTATGTAAGACCTCTCTATAATTTGCCTCACCCAATATTCTCATTCTACAAATTAAAATGTTCCCATGTCACAGTGGGAAAAGGAGGAAGCTAGTGGGAGAAACGGCATCTTTGGGTGACTGTATCTCACTATTTCAACGGTTCAAAATAGTCCCCATTACTCACTGGCATGGGTACTGTGGTAAAATTGGGAAGACCTGGACCTCCTAAAGTTATCATTATTAATATTTGAAAAAGCCTGTTTTAGGAAACAACACTGATTGAATGAAGAAGGTATGAGATTCAAAATAAGTTGCCCTATAAATAATAGTCTTTTTCACAAAAGGCTTTCTCGCCCCTCAGGTACGGCCACATCGTCGCCTCATTCTGAACTGGAAAGTACAGGTGCGATTCTCGATGACAAGGAAGATGCTTACTTCACAGAAATTCGAAATTTCATCGGGAATAGCAACCATAGCAGCCAGTCTCCCAGGAACACAGAAGAGAGGTGAAGCTTTTTTTTTCCTCTTTAAAGTCGGTGATTTCACAAATGAACGTTTTCAAATACATTTGCAGTGCTCACTCTTGTGACACGACTCTACTCCTGCCACCAATGGCTGGTATTTATTTAGTGCAGATTAAATACGAAATGGTCTTCTAAGCACTTTATATTATTAGTTAACTTAATCACCCTAATAACCCTATGAGATAGCGACTACTGTTATATAATTTTATCAGTGCAGGAATGGAGACATCGAAGGTTAAATAACTTGCCCAAGGTCACCTAAGTAATAAATGGGATTCAACTGGGCTCTGTGGTTCCAGAGCCCAGGCTTTTACCACCGTTCTGTTCTGCCTCTCTTGATAGCTAATTAGAAAATTTTATCAAAACTTTCTAACTAGAAGGGAAAGCCACCACAGGGGTTCAGTTGAATCACTGGCTAACAGTGGTTACTATTATAGATCATATGATATATCATGTATACAGAGTATATGACTATATATATTATATGACTATATATATATATCTGTATGTATATGTATCTGTATATATTTACATATATATATATACTGTAGATATTTACATATAAAATACTTATTGAATGTCATCCAAATATCTTTTTAGAAACCGTTTGTGACTTCTGAATAAGATTCTGTCCCTTCCTTATATGTTCTCAGGTGCATCCTCTTTTAATTCTGGCATGTTTGTTTTGGTGGGTATAATCATCCTTGTTTTTAAGGTGCACTGGCTCCCTCTTGTCATTATCAACATCAAGCACATATGGCTTAATTCATATAGAAAAACTTTTAGAGATGCTGATAATGATAATGAATACTTATCTAGTATTTGACATTTTATGTGATGTAAATGAAACATTATTTTACCCAAACTACTGGGTTTAATTTTTCTTATCGGTAAGTTACAATTAAATATCTGATATTGAGAACTATGTTGTTCTGAATATAACTATCCAATGGCTATTAAATTAGGATGCTGCAATGTACATTTTAATGTAACAGGAAATTAATGAAAGTTCCATGACTTTTTATCACGCAAGTGTTATTGTTAGTGTTCTCTATCTTTGATGCTATTAAAAGTCAAAGTTAATTGTTTTAGGTACTTTTTTCCATTAAGGCAAGTATCAAATAAACATTATTTTCCAAGATAACATAAAAATATATGGCCACTCTGTTCTTCAACTTGTATAAAATTGTTTCTAAGGGAACAAGGAGAGAATATCTGCTATTGCATGACTCTTCCCAGCCTCTCAGAAGTCTGATAAAACTATAACTTTGTGCAGTTGGATGTCTTTCCCTCTGCTTGCCCGTGTGTGTGTGTGTGTGTGTGTGTGTGTGAGAGAGAGAGAGAGAGAGAGAGAGAGAGAGACAGACAGACAGAGAGAGAGACAGAGAGAGAGGTGAGGCAGATATCAGAAGTACAAAGTACTAAGGACAAGTAAGAAAGACAGTCACGATCTTTGGATAATTTTGACATTTTGTTAATGATAGTTACATGATACAAATAAGAAGTAGCGAACAAAAAGCACCATTTGTGTTCTGAGACTCCTGTTCAGATTTCGAGCCCTTAGCCGGAGATTTGTGAACCATAAAGCTGCAACATCTGGCTTCAACATGTCTAAACAGCATAGAAGTAAGAAGACTGAGTCATCCAACTTTTCTCCCCTCAACTCCTATCAGACTACTTTTGATGAATAATTTAACCCCCATAAATTGCCACATTTGAAAGCATAATTAACAAATAGGTTTTCTTAATCACGTTGGCTTTGTTACTTTTGGTTTTCATCCATGCACTCTTTTGTTCTTTTACTTTTTCTTTCATTTCTTTAAAACAACAATTTCGGTCCATTCAAGCTAGCAAGTTGGCAGTGTAACTGGAAACTAATAATTTATGTCTGTGCAAAACATGTTTTCATCATTCTTTGATAAAAGAGGTTAAGAGATGGATTGTATAAAAAAACTTAATGATGATATGACTTTTTCTGGTCAAATGAATTTTTACTGTGTGCATCTGTCACATGCACAATTGTTTTATTTATGTATTTTTTTTGCCCTGAGAAATCTAAGTATTAAATTATACTCATTTTTTTAAATGTGGGAAAGTGATGGGGGTCTATTGCTGATGCCTGATTTTCCATAATCTGAAAAATAGTTACATTAAATGTGAAAATTGTACATGACTGTAACAATAATTTAGCAGCCTCAGCAAGTTTTCTGAATTAGTAAATAGGTAAAGGAACAAGACAAAATTGAAAGATTCTGAATGGCCCAGGAATCAGGACACCTGGATGCCTCGGATGATTTAATTTCTCTCAAGCTTTCTGTATTTGGGCAAGTGCCTTTACTACCCTGATCATATATCTTTAAAAGGAGGAAGTTAGGAGGAGAGATTCAAAACATGTATAATTGTTTTATAACAGTTTCAACTTTAAAATCTTACAGTGAAACTTAAATTCAAGTTAAACATATTTTAATGTTTACTTTAAAGCCTGAAAAGCTTATCCTAGTTTCATAAATGCCCTCAAAAGTTTTAAACGGGGACTTCTATGTTATTAAGTTTCTTTTATAATTAAACTTTCGAATCACGTATTGCAATCCTTGCCACCACAGACTAAAATATTACAGATGGCTTTTTAAATATAATAGTCTTCTTTTGCATCATTATGTTATACACACTTGCTAAGTAAGCTTCAAAAGATATTTGTACAATTACATTCTTATATCATTTCCCACCCCAACGTTATCCTGGGAAACAAGGAATTTTTTTACATTCAGATCACCCAGGATCATTTGAACAAAGTACGAATAAATGAGCACTCAAACACTTTCAAGTCTCAGTAGAGTGTTTAAGTGCCGTATACCCACCAAAGTCACCTAGAAATAGCAAATACTGGTTAGTCCTTGGCAGCTATTTTAACATTTACTTTGAACTCTTAGATTCACTTGAAGCATGTGTATTGAAGCTTTGACAGTGTTGCTCAGGGGTATGAGTTTTCCAGAAATCTATTCTTTTAAATGGTGCATACTTATATGGTAATTAGGTAATTTTACTTAGAGAAAACCTTTGTGTGCTTTTTATATCCTATATAACAATATCATTTATCAAGCAAAGGCCTGATAAGAAATAGGAGACCGAGATTGTTTTCCCAGTTCGACCAGAGGCTCTATTTATAATCTGAATAATCACACAATTATTTTTTTTCTTCATTTTCTCATTTGTGATGTTACATTGTTTTCCCATGGTTGCCATAAAGCCTACACAATAAAAAATTTGCTCTACAAATGTTGAAAATTAAATTGTTGCTAGGAAGACGTGATAATAGAGCTAACTGCACGTTTACAAATGATACCAGTAATTGAACCTCTTTCTTTTTTATGCTTTTGAAAGAATGAATGGCAGTCACTTTAAAGATGAAAAGGCTTTGGTGACCAGTCAAAATTCAGACTTACTGGATGATGAAGAGGTGGAAGACGAGGTGTTGTTAGATGAGGAGGATGAAGACAATGATATTACTGGGAAAACAGGAAAGGAACCAGGGACAAGTGCTTTACATGAAGGAAACCATGAGGATGACTATGAAGACACCAGCGCCCTGGAGATGAGTTGCAAGACGTCCCCAATGAGGTGAGAAGCAAAAGTAGATCCACATGGGGTTACAATTCCTGCT